GAGCTCGTCTGCATCGCTGCTGAATATGATAATGTCATCCGCGAAACAGAGATGGTTTAAACTTGATTAGATCCAGCTTTATACGCGATCAAAGGTCCATAATTTTGATCGCATATAAAGCTAAGTCTAATCAACCGAATTTAAAAGAATTATATATGAAATAGGGGTAGAAAAGACTGAAAAATATAATAAAATTAGAAATAAATCGATATCTCCAGCGGAAGTAAAGTTTCCTCTATGAGGAAGCCAAGTGAAAATTTCTAATTTGCACAATTTTTTAGCTTCATTGTCTGATAATTTTATTATTATTCTCATAGAAATTATCGGCATCAGTTGACGCATCATCTGTTTGCATATTGTCATCTTTTGTATTGTCTTTGATTTGATCACTTTCTTCATCACTGTCTTCATCCTCATTGCCTATTGCAGCCTGCAGCAAGCGAGATACTTCAGTCATGTCAATCAGTCCATTAGGGACTCGATACACATCTTTATGGATTTGCTTGTCATGTCCCATGAAATTTTCTAAGTCTGAAACTTTATTTTCCTCTACTCGCAGCATAGCGGTGTAAGTAGCGATATGCTTTTGAAGCATAGTACCTCGTAGACTGGTAGGGATTGATGCACCACAGTTATTAGCAAATTTTCGCATTATAGGACAAGCTCTGACGTAACCTTTTTTCGGAGAATTTACTCGAGATACAGCAAAGACGTACTTATTTTTTTAGCTTACTCCAGCTTCAGAACGATATTTAAGTAAAACATCAATGTACAAAGTTAAAAATGTATGTAGTAATACGGAAACGGTTCTTCCCAATTTGCCTCGCACAGTTAATCGAACAAATTGCTTGGCTTGTTTTTGAGATTCTTCTGATATGTTGTCAAATATATCAGGATTGAAAATTTTGTCAATTGTCTCTTGATTTTCATAGTTTTCAATGGAGAGTCTCTCAATTTCACCAGCTCTTCGTCGATTAAACATCTGAACGAGAATCAGACTACCGTCAGTTAATTTTTTCCATGCATTAATATCAAATTTTTTCTGAAGAATTTTCATGGCTTTGTCACATAAATTTTTTGCATAGTTATACAATTTTTGGATATCTGATTTTGATAGGAGGACAATTTGTTTCTTTCAACGTTTATTTGCTCGTTCCTCTATAACTTTTTTATTAATTGTCACTGGGTAATCATCATTAACAATAAAAATATTATTTTTCGCTCGTTTCAGGCAAAGGCTATAATGAGGAGTAGAACCAGTATACGAGCATTAATCGATGTTACAACAATTTTAACTTGTATCAAGATTTATTAAATTGACGTTTCGTACTGCTCGGGGGGCGTTTAAGCGTTCCCCGGATTTGCGAATTGGTGCGAACTACGTGACTCGAAGGACCAGGGGAGGTGTGTATCGTCTCTCCAAAGCGAATTAACGTAATTAAGCAAATGCGACTCACCGTTCGGGAAGCCGTCGTTTCCTGGAAAATTCGTCTCTCTAGCAAGCTCGTGGGCAGCATGTGCAGCAAGCGCAGGCAAAGGCAGCAAGGCAAGCAAAGGCAGCAAGCAAGGCGGCAAAGCAAGCAAAGGCAGCAAGCAAGGCAGGCAGAGAAAGCGATCGCACTTTCGGAGAGCAAGCTCTATGTAGTCTCTCGGATGTTTGAGTGTGCACGTACAGCGTATGCACCCCGAGACGTCGTGATGATGAGTGAATCGTGCTCGCGGCGCTAAAAAAATGTCGCGAGCGAGTACTTGCTCTTTCCTCATGCGGGTGCCCTCGTGGGGTGAACGAGGGCAGCACCGATTGGTGAGTCGCGAAACTATCGATTTTACGCGTCGATCGCGATCCGCCAACGTTTCGCGCGAGTCACCGAAAATACATAAAAATTATATACTAGAAAGACTATTATATACAGCGGATATGAACCTAAATGTGACTAGACGACTAACGACTACAATATATACAATGTGGCGAGCGCCAAACACGTACCATACTCGGACTTTATCAGAGTTTAATAGATTCAATAATTACCATGATAGAATCAAATTCACTATTGAATACGAGGAAAATAGAAGTATTAGTTTTTTGGACGTAAAATTGATTGTAAGGGATAACATGATTGTCACTGATTGGTTCCACAAAAAAACGTTTTCGGGAAGATTTTTGTCGTTTTATTCTAGTCATCCCATACAACACAAACTCGGAACTATATATAATTTGGTAAATAGAGCAATAAAGTTATCCCATCCGAATTTTTACGAAAAGAATTTGGTGTTTATTATTAACAATTTGATTGAGAACGGCTATGGAGTTAATATTCACCCATATCAATCGGAGATTGAAAAAACTTATCAACCAATCTTTGAACGGTAGCACGGAAGAAACAGAAACACAACAAAAAAGAATTTCATTGTTCTTCCATATATCAAATCAATCTTGGAATTAATTGCCTCAAAAGTAGATAAATCATGCATATCCATGGGGTACCTTGAACAAACTTAGCAGTATCATCAGAGTCCAAAAAGACAAAAACTCGTTGTTTATAAACAATAACGTAATATACAAGATTGATTGCAAAAACTGCGATGCATCGTACGTGGGCAAGACAAAAAGAAAGCTTCAGACTAGAATTAAGCCTACCGCACACGGTGCTTCTTTTCTTGCTGGATCGCTTGCTGGATATTCCTGCTGGTTACCGTGCGAGCTCTACCGCTTGGAGTCTTGCCGGTAGCGCTGCTGATTTGGCTTTAGACGGAGCGTGCTGCTGTGCAGGACGAACTGCTGGTTTTGTCGCTTGCTAGAAGACGCTGCAAACATGAACGCTGTTGTGTTGGAGACTATTCGTCGAAGACGGTATGCAGTCGCTATGTTTTTGCTCATAGACTTGATGAGACGAAATAGTGAAAGAAAATTGAAACGTAGAATATGGAGTCGGCCTTGGTTGCTGCGGCGAAACATGAGTCAAAGTGTTTTAACCATGTTGTTCGAGGAGCTAGGGTAAGCATAATCACAGTTCTGAAATTTGCATTCTCTTTTCTCACATATTTATCATTATTTATTTCTTCTTTTGTTCATGTCATTAGCCCTGAAGATCCTGCATCGTTTTCGAACTATACCCGAATAAAGGAAGATGTTTTGAATGATTTGTTGCTTCTTATTACTCCGTATATCCAGAAGCAGAATACCGTAATGAGGGAAGCAATTTCACCTAGAGACAGATTTAGTGCAACACTTCGCTATTTAGCAACTGGCAATACATTTCAGGATCTTGCCTACTCAACACGTATTGCTCCAAATACACTTTCACAAATTATAAATGAAACTGTAGAGACTATAATCAAAGTACTTGAAGAGAAAGTTATGGTGTTTCCATCAACACCTGAAGAATGGGAATTTATAGCTGACAAATATCAATCTAATTGGCAGTTTCCGCATTGTATAGGTGCTCTAGATGGTAAACACATTGTCTTTCAGCCTCCAAGAAAAGAGGGATCAATTTATCGCAATTATAAAGGACAGAACAGCATTGTTCTTCTTGCCCTTGTTGACGCCGAATATAAATTTATTTTTGTCGATATTGGCCGGAATGGGCGAATGCATGACTCAGCTGTATTTAGAGACAGTTGTTTGGGGGTAAAATTAAATTCAGAATCGTTAAATTTGCCTATGCCAAACAGTCTGCCTGGATTTTCTCATAGGATGCCTTACGTAATTGTGGGCGATGATGCATTTCCACTTAAACAGAATTTAATGAAACCTTATCCAAATCGCAGATTAACTATAGAGAAGAGGATTTTCAATTACAGATTGAGCAGGGCAAGGAGAGTAGTGGAAAATGCATTTGGAATACTCGCCAACAGATTCCGTGTGCTTTTAAATCCTATATTACTGTCAGTAGAAAAAGTTGAGGCTATAACATATGCATGCGTTCTTCTACACAATTTCCTTCTATCAAAAAAATGTCAGTGGTATGTTTCTTCTGAGTATAGGAATCCTGAAACTTTTCTAGACTCTGGTCTTGTAAGCATTTCACAACAGTGTGGAAATCGTTGCACCGATACAGCTCGTGTAGTGCGTGATAATTTTGCTGAATATTTCAATACTGCTGGAGTTGTAAACTGGCAGTATGACGCAATTGCAAAGGGAAATGTTTAAGCTTTTGTTAATTTTATTGAAAAAACTTTTAAAATTAATCAAGTGAGTAAAAACTGTATTAATAATAATTTACTGCATTAACTTTATTATTGTAACTTACTGTATTACATACTGTAATAGATTATATTACATACTGTATAACTGTATTAATAAAATTTTATAATAAAACTAGGTTGTGAAGAACTAAAAATCCTATAGAATAAAAATATAAGAATACGAATACAAATATTGATGTAAACATGTAAGGTTTACATAATCTTAAGTCCATAGTTATGTCTAATACTGTAAATAACTATTGACACTGATATTGCAAATAACATTGCCACATATCCTGCATTCAGCACATAAAAAAATCAAGAAAAATAAGTAGGAAAAATTTAATATATTACAATGACTTCATATATTATTTTAAAATTTAATACATTGTCACTACTCTAGAAAGCTTACACTAAAAAGATACAACTTTTGTGTAGTCATTTATTCAGAATTATTACCTTCAATCTAATAAATTTATCCAGACTTAACCATCTCTCAGCCTTAGAAAAAAATTACATACTAATATAAACTAAAATACTACATAAAATATAATAATATATGAACTAATATACTAGCATACTGATTATAAACATTAAAAAATTGTTTGTAGTTGTTTTAAAAAAAAGTAAAATACACAACCAAAATATTATCTCTGAAACTGTTTGTAGTTGTTTAAAAAAAAAGTAAAATACACAACCAAAATATTATCTCTGAACTAGAGTACATAATAAAAAAAGTAAATAATTATTATATATATAGCCACATATTAAGAATTTTGGAATCGTTGCAAATCCGCTGTTCGAGCATTTATACACGTTTGTAAACATGTATTCATAACATCCAGTCGCAGGTCCTCATTTTGAAAGTTGCGCAGTATAGATCCAAGAAACATTAAAAATCCGTCAACGGTTTCTGGAGGACTGTCGGTCTTTGCAACTTGCGTCACTATAGGTTGCCGTATTGAATCAGCCAAAGATTGTACAGCCTCTGCATAAGCATCGTCACTTGTTGTCTTACGTCTTTTTGCTTTGGAATGAGAAGGAGGAGGACATGCAGTGGAGACTCCCGAAGACGACGGTATTGCAGGACTGATAGATAGAGAAGGGCGAACTGGGCCTAGTGACATTGCAGGACTGACAGAAGGAGAAGGGCGAACTGGACTTGGTGAGGCTCTTTGTGATTGGATGGAGGTTGAAGCTCCAACAGTATATTGTCTAATAGTTGGTCTTTCTAAAGCTGAGGATTCAAAAGAAGTGGGTTCATCTGATTCTTTGGGTTCATCTGATTCGTTGCCAGGCTCCTCTTCAGTAAAAACGTTGAAATGACCATCTTCTGTGAATCCGTCCGTGATTACGTGGATTGAATCCTGAGAAAATTCTGTCTCACTGTTCTTGTTCTTTTCTAGGGAGTTTCTACTTTTTCTTGGTGTGAAGAAGGTATCCAAAAACATGAGATGTTCAAAATACCAAAGACTAGGTTTATATACCTATAATTACACAGTAAAAAATTTTGTATTAATTTAACACATTTCACATGTCCCAAACAATCCACGCAAATTTTTGTGTTATTTTAACACAAGATGAATATGTTAAAAAGTAACACAAATATTAACAATAAGAAATGTTTAATATCAATTTATCACAAAATATTCAAATAACATAACCACTTAATGTTAAATTAACACTTGGATATGTTAAAAATTCAACACAAATTTTTAACAACTATTTTGAGTGGACCGATTGGAACATAAATACACAATGTGTTAAAATCTTTTTTACTGTGTAGTAAAAAAAATTATACTTTAATTAATTTTTAATATATTATAATGAGTTGAGATTAGGTTAGGTTAGGTTCGTGTACTCACGTTATCGGTACCAGTTCCACTTTTTTTAGACCTTTTTACTTTTGCATTTTCAATATTATATTGTGACCTCAAAGTGTGAAATTTTGAGGCACAATCTTTATCGGTGACATGTGGTTTGAAAACACGCACGGCATCGCCAACTCTCTTCAGTGCCTCGTTCCTCAGATGCTTGTTATGATAATTAGGAGAATTGATAGCGTATAGACAGCTTTCTTCTTTATACGAATCAATTAAAATTATTATCTCCTCATTTGTCCATTTCTTTGAATCTCCGCTTTTGGTTGCCATTCTTCTCTGCTGCAACGCGTATGTGGCTGTACCGGCTGTACGGAATAACGTGACCACGTGACAGCTTACTGCGCTCTGATTGGCTCTTCTCGTGAGCCAGCAGACAAACCTGCTAGAAAAATAGCACGGGTTCAATCACCGAATTCCAGCAAGCTAGTCAGCAGCACGGCCCACAGTGACGTTACTTTCCATCACCGCTCCCAGCACAGTTACCATCACAGCTCCAAGCAAGCGATCTTGCAAGGAAACAAGCACCGTGTGCGGTAGGCTTTAGAAAACATAAGTATAACATCAGACTGGATGAATCCAAGCATTCGGTGATAACAGATTATATTTTAAATTATAATCACACCTTTGACTGGGATAATACATGTATCTTAGATCATGAACCGAGTTATCAAAAAGGAATGATCTCTGAAATGATACATATCAAAGAGCAAACAAACAGGATTAACTCTAACAAAGACACCGAATTATTGGACGAAGTTTATTTTGATGTTTTAAACAAACTTTCCACGGTCAGGTAATTGCAAACATTCTTTGTCCTCGTGTTAAGTTCATTCCCCTCTTAGTTCACGATGATTCTTCGCGCAGATCAGACGTGTTATACCGATGCCATATAATTATTGCCTGTCATGGTTTCCGTCATCTCTGAACACTTATGTAAGTCTCGGTTTTAATTTTAATTTAATTTTATTGAGTCGATATTATATTATCTTATCTAAATACATTTATTCAGTTGCCACTAAGTTGGTCCAGAAATGTATTGTGCCTTTTGAAATTGTGGACTTGCATGGGTCTCCACGGGACGATGATACTTAATAAAAACGGAAATTTAACTGGAGCATGATTGACTTGCGAAGAAAGCGTTCTACAATGTTTAAGTTTTTTGACTTTGTGATTGCGGTACTTCTGTTTGATTGATTGCGATTTGACCTCGATATATGTTAGTTTATTAATTATTTGCTTAATTGACAATTCTGATGAAGTCCGAGTATGGTACAAAACGTCAATTTAATAAATCTTGATACAAGTTAAAATTGTTGTAACATCGATTAATGCTCGTATACTGGTCCTACTCCTCATTATAATCATCATTAAACAATACCATAAAATCATCAACAGCTTTTTTTCCATCAACGTCTTCTCACTTGATACATTCAGCAGCTTGTATACGAGAACATTTTTTCAACATTGTTCTCAGAGTAGTTGTATTATATGGTATGAAAAACTTGTAACTCAGAATCATAATTTACACATATTTTGACAGCCTTTATAACGTCATCGTAGTATCCTGGATGAAAAATGGATGCAAAATCAGATATTTGCCTGTTAATTTCTTTGATTGTCAATTTGAAGCGACCAAGTAGTCGTAGATAATTTCTATTCATGTTGTACTGATGAGAAAGTGTGTATGTATCACATAATTTATTTCCGAATGAAATCAGAAGTTCATCGTATTTAATAGATCTTGAAACATTGTCATCTTAGAGTGATGAGACAATTTTTTGACGCATAACATTGTTAGGTGTTACCTGTGTACGAAGGTGTATATATCCCATTAACTGTTTTCCTTTTACGAGTTGATCTTTTCGACCTTTTTCATGAGCTGGATCACACGTTTTATAATGTATTCTCAAGGTTCTTTTATAATAAAATCCTTTGCAATAACTACAAGACACATAAGGACGGCAGTGTGGTCTAGTGGTAGAGCGCCAGACTCGTAATCTGAGGAACCAGGTTCGAGTCCACTAGAACCATGAAGCATGGAATGTTTTTCCGATAGCTGCGCTCCTCCGTGCAAGATAGGCTCTTGTGCGGAGAAAACTGGGCTCCGTCTTTCGGAAAGAGACGTTAAGCCGTTGGTACAAAGGGTTAAAGTGAGAGAAGAAGGGTAGTATTGGTGGTAGATTGCGAACCCTGCGGGGATATGCAATAAATTACGAATTTTACAGGAATTTTACAGGATTTTTACAGGAACTACAAGACACATAGTTTTCGGCAGTATTGTTAAATTTTGCTTGAGGACGTCAACAAGCTATGAGAACTCCTGTATTTAAATTCGCATTAGTGTTATGAACGAAATTACCATATTTTCAAATTTTTTCAATAATTTTGCGTCGTTCTGGATTGCCTTTTGGAAAATGTACAAATTTATGAACATTTGGTATATCTTTGTGTTTTAGTTCCAAATGCCGAGCAAACTTGTTTTGCAATTTCTTGCAATACGGGCAAAAATATTGTTTGAGTAAAAAACCTGGATTTTTATTTTTTGAAACAGGCACATAAACGTTACGAATATCAACTGGAGGTGCATTATTATTAATAGGAAAACTCACATTATCACTCACATTAGAATTTGTTTCATTTATTGTAGTGCTATTACTCGGTATATAATCTGAACTCGTACCTTCATGTCTACTATCAGTCATTGTAACATTAGTTTTTATTAAAATATTTTCTTGAATGCTAATTGTTGTAATGCGGAAGCCGAGTTGGCCTCATTGCGACACTGAGTTGTCAGCGCACGAGTTCCGGCTATTGCCAAAGACATCTTAGGTGGCATTCCGGGCTGCACCAGGTCGCCAGGCGATTGACCTGAGCCCGGAAGCAAAAGCGCTGACAGCCGAGTCAGCAACGAGGAAGCGACTCCACAAGTTAAGGCCCGCCCTTCCGATAAGCGGCGGGCAGTTACCACCGAGAGCACGCACCGCGTTATTCTGTGTATTATATCTTTAACCCGCAAGTCAGGGTGGTGTAACAAGTGATACAAGTGTAACTCCGAAACAGCCGTTTATTAAACTCTACTACTACAACCAATCCCGTCTGAGAGTTGTTCTTTCATTTGCGGAT